AAATGTGTTAGAATATGAACCAAAGAGAAAAACCTCGTGCTAGACATCTTCAGCTTTAGGACATGATAAAAAAAAAAAAAATCTGTTCTTTCTTTACTATTTATTTCAGCAACATTTGTTAAGAGCCTGCTTTCTGCAAGGCACAGGGCTAGACACTATCAAAGGCATTGCCATGTTAATAAAGAAAACAACATTTTTCTTCTGTCCTGCTTGGAGTACTGGTCTCTCCCTCCCTTCTCCCCTGTTGTCCCTGTTGTTCTTCAGTCGACCTTTACGGCACCACGTGGAGATTTAATATTACAGGACTCCACATTCTCCAATATTGCTTAGATAATATATTCTCCCAATGTCTCTTAATATTAATTGAGTGATTTAGTAATATGCCTGCATTAGCAAATATCTTAGGCTACTTGAAATTGATTTGTACTGAAGGCCTTGATATCCTCAGCAGGGTCATGTCTGGCTATCCTGCGTCTGAGATGTGTAAGGTGAGATCCCATGAAACGAAGACCCACCAACCTTCACTTTTGTTTCTGGGATGTCATATTGTGGTGTGAATTTTAATTGTCTTAGCTCTCTTTGGGATTTCAGACCTTCCTGGTTATTAACCTCCTACTCTCACGTGTACCCCTTTCCTCCCTCATAGCTCCAGTGGCTCCAGAAATCACTTCTGTGGAGTACTTTAACAGTCTGCTGTATGTCACTTGGACATATGGGGATGACACCACTGACCTGTCCCATTCTAGAATGCTGCACTGGATGGTTGTTGCAGAAGGAAAGAAGAAAATTAAAAAGAGTGTATGTTTCTTTGAATCCCGATATTGGGCGTCAGAGCACCTGTTTGAATGAGCTATTGAAAACCGTTAAGCAAACATTTATGGGGACATTTAGCAAATATTTGTATGCCAGTTGGCACTGCTTGGCCTCTGGAGGTAGGACAGTGAGCCAAAATTAAAATCCTACTGTCAGAGAACTTACCTCTTAATCCTTTAACAGTGATTTGAAATCATTATAAGTATTGATTTCACTTCATTTAATGTTAAAATCTGAGAACTGAGTGTAGTGGTGTGAGCCTCTTAACTGAGTTCTGAGCAGGAAGAGACAGGAGGAGTTCAAGATCATCTTCAATTGCCTAGCAAGACCGAGGCAGGCCTGGGCTGCATGAGACCTTGTCTCAAAAACTAACCAATAAATTAATAAACAAAGTTCAAATTTGAACTTTCTTCAGGATTCTAAACATTTTCAAGAAAACTGTCACAAACATGGATTGATATTGTTACCATGTAATGCTAATATCTAAATACTTGTATACATTTTGGAAGCTGGTTTCTTCTCTCCCGATTTATTAAGATTTTTGACAGTGTATTAGTTAGGGTACAGGTTAAACTATTGCAATAAAACAAAGAAATGAAAAGAGAGCGGATTAAACAAAATAGAAGGCAAGCATCTCCCAATTCTCTCTCTTTGGTGTCCATCAGCTGCTATGTGGGTTGTCGTCTTTACAGAAGCACCTTCATCCTTACATCCACACGCCAGTCTGTAGGGAGAGGCAAAGAGAGGAGATGGATACCCAGCACTTACAGGACGGAAACTAAGCTATAAGTCACCGTGTGTCTTCCACTTGCAATCCATAGGTCAGAATTGGGCCACATGATACCCTCTAGCTATGTGGAGGACAGGCATTATAGTCTTTATGTAGAATTGTGAGTCCATAGACATGGCTAGGGTTCTCCTGAGCTTTTCAGAAAGTACAGATCAGGAACAACCCAACAAATGCCTTTTCTAAAATCTGGTGTGATTATATGGGATGAAACCAAAGTCATACCCATTCTAAATAAGGGAAGACTGCAAAATTGTACAATCTCACCTGTACTGTGCATTTTAAGGTAACTTGCATTCATGCAATTCAAGCAATTCACAGAATTTCCACAAGATATAACTTAGCCATAATATATTTAGTCACATAGAATCATAAGGGGCTGTCTGATACAGCCCTGCAGTTGTGTAGCTGTGCAGTTACTGTGTCAGGTGGGGTGCTGGCTCATTTGTTAGAAGTTGAAGGCCTTGATTTTCATGGTCTTGCAGGTAACACGCAATGTCATGACTGCAATTCTTAGCCTGCCTCCTGGAGACATCTACAACCTCTCAGTTACTGCTTGCACTGAAAGAGGAAGCAATACCTCCATGCTCCGACTTGTCAAGCTAGGTAAGAGGAGTTCTCAGGTAAGGTGTAAAGTGGCCGTGTTGTAGTCCTGGTTTGATGTGGACTCCTCAACTCAGCAGAACCGAAAGAGAAAAACAGCTAGTTCTCTCTGATAAGTAGAAAACAGATATACTAGAAAAAACACTCTCAAATTGGTATGACATTTTATGAGTGGAATGTAAACTTTACTGGGACATGGAAGTTTGTCATTCTCAGTGGTGTGAGAGAGACCAGGAAGCCTTAGGACTTTGAAGACAGAGGCTGTTACTTACCATCTATTTCAATATTCTGTACTCTATCCAACAATAAATATTACTCCTTATTAACTTAGACAGAAATTCATAGATAAAATAACTTGACTTTAAAAAAATACTTACTGTTTTATTTTGTGTGTATGAGTGTATCGTCCACATGAACATGAGTGTACCGTGTCGTGCAATGTCCACAGAGGTCAGAAGAGGGTGTCAGATTCCCTGGGACTGGAGTTACAGACAGTGGTTAATCTCCATGTGGGTAGTGGTAATCAAACCCAGTTCCTCTGCAAGAACAACCAATGCTTTAAACCACCAAGTCATCTCTCCAGCCCCAAATAATGTGACTTTATAGAAGTTGATATCATTTCATAATTCCATATAAAATCAAGGTGAGAGAAAAATAACACCAAGATACTCCTCATAATACATGAACATATGTGAAAATATTTTTTATTATTTTTATTTTATGTGTATGAATGTATTGCCTGCATATATGTAAGTGTACCCCTGTCGTACAATGCCCACAGAAGTCAGAAAGAGAGTATTGGATTCCTCTGGAACTAGAGTTACAGACAGCTGTCAGCCACCATGTGGGTACTGGGAACTGAACCCAGGTCCTCTACAAGAGCAGCCAGTGCTCTTAACCACTGACCCATCTCTCCAGTCCATGAAAATATTTTTTAAAAAGAAAAGAAAATAGCAAATAAAAGAAAACATCATTTTCTTCAGTTTACCCAAAGGGTATATTTCTCTACAACTAAATGCATGGGCCACTGAGTCTTGGAATGTTTTATGGTTCTATTTGCAGTGATAAAAACCAAATTCTTACTGAAACACTTACAAATTATATAGACCTTGGAAATACGTGACATGCTGAATACGTGTTACTAGAAGAAGATGGAACTAGTTGAATAAGTTTAAGTAATACTTTAATCCACTTAAATACCTTTCTTCAAGACAATTACATTTTTTAAATTAATTTACTTAATTCCTTGAAACCTTTCCAATATCGTGAAATAGCAAAGTAAATACAATTTATACTTTTGATGTGTTTATTCCGGTGTCACATTAGAAAGTCATGAAGGGGTCAACAAGAGGGCTCAGTGGAAAAAGGCACTTGCCGCCAAGACTGATGACCTGAGTTCGAAATCTGGGACCCTCCTGGAGTCCCGTAAACTAGAGCATGTGTTAGAGGGGGTTAACTAATTCCTGCAAGTTATCCTCGGACCTCCACACAAGCACTGAGGCACACACACACACACCTGCCGACACACATGTACACACACACACACTTGATTAATTTTTAAAATTTTTTGAAAAGAAAATGACTTGAGACAATTTGAAACGTTCTTCTTGAACGTTTGTTTGCTTCCTAGGTTGTGACTATAGAAAACATTCCTGCAAATTTCCAAATACCCTCCAGGGGGCAGTACTGCTCCTGTTGAGAATCAGCGACATGATCCATTTCAGACACTGCAGATAAGCTGCTCTTTTTCCTAGTAGTTTGTCCTTGGGTTCTAGGAATGTGAACAGCACCAGCTCCCAACACTGCGTGATCTTTTCACAGAAAAAACAAATCACTTTCCTATCAGTTGGAACTTTGATTTATAGTATTGTCCTCATGGATAGGAAGTTCTGCTCAAAACTACTTTCCAGGTGACTGGAACCATGTGAGCGCCATGCGCCCGCCTTCCCTAAGGATTATCATGTAGTGCACCTGTAAGTGTTCCTCAGGACCTGACTGCTTTCTCCATGTCAACCTGTTTTCTAGTCTCCCTTAAAATGCGAATTCAGAGGCGGTCTTATCAGAAAACAACTTTTGAGTGTGCTTACTGCACGCTTCCCTACCATTTCATGAGTGTGCTTACTGCACGCTTCCCTACCATTTCATGAGTGTGCTTACTGCACGCTTCCCTACCATTTCATGAGTGTGCTTACTGCACGCTTCCCTACCATTTCATGAGTGTGCTTACTGCACGCTTCCCTACCATTTCATGAGTGTGCTTACTGCACGCTTCCCTACCATTTCATGCAGCACTGGGGTTGAAGGGAAGAACTGGTACAGTTATTCTACATAAAATATATTAGCTACCATAATAGTTTCTCAAACATCATGTGGTTTTGAGCTCCCATGTTTCACTAGTAGACAGGACTATCTAACTCAGGTGAGAAAGTTCTTCTAAACTTTTCAAGATAAAAATAGCAAGTTCCAGGGAATGATTTCCACTGAATCATGTAACCTGTACAGTCAATAAGGTTTTATTGGTGTATCAGTATCAGATGGAATACTGTCTCTAGCTTGAAAGCAAGACATCTCTATATAATGTACCTATCTTTTCCCACAGATAACTAAATAATCCAACTTTTTATCCCTCTGTGTAAAAGTCTGTATTCTGCTAATCACATTAATGTATTTTGTAAGTGCCTTCAATTTTCTACAGCACAATGCTTTACTGTCTGTAACTGTTCAGTACATGTTATTGAACTGGATTGCAAAGCTCAGAGTTAAAACAGTGTTCTAGTTAATATTTAACCAAAGCAAGTGGCACCTTTCAGAGAAATGAAATAACATTTTCTTTGATGAGAACTGGATTGAAGGGAATTTTTGTTATTGTTTCACAACACTTTCATTCTAGTCATTTTTAGTTTCTCCATAGGATTCATTCTGTCCATCACTGAAGTTACATTAATTCTACTTTAAAGGAAAATACACCTTTGATACACAAATGATTTCAGGACTGATTCAAATCAAGAAACTATTGTTGATCTTAGACCAAAATCAGTTGGACTAGCCTGCAGTTTACCTTCTCTATGATAAAGGCCTTTTTGGAATACCTTTCTGATGCCATGGAGGGTAGGGTCTACCTGTGTAGAAAGAAGCCAAGCTACAAATGAGCCCAGAATAATGGAAGGTCATCCAAGAAGGCATGTAAAGGGTATAGAGTCTTTTTCAAACACTTGCCAAGCATTTTCAATTGTCATATCAACAATACACGCAGAAGAAGAAATGTATCAGCTGGGCATGGTGGCACACACCTTTAACCCCAGAACTGGAAAGGCAGAGACAGGAGGATCTCTGTGAGATGAGGTCAGCCTGGTCTACAACATGGCAAGTTCCAAGGCAGCTAGGGCTATAGGGAGACAAGAAAAAAGGAGGAGAAAGAGGAGAAGGAGGACGAGGACAAGGACAAAGAGATGGAGGTTTTTTGAGGAGGAGGAGGAGGAGGAGGAGGAGGAGGAGGAGGAGGAGGAGGTTGAGAAGGAGGAGGGTGAGAAGGAGGAGGAGATAGAGGAGATGGAGGAGATGGAAAAGGAGGAGGAAGAGGAGGCAGAGATGAAGGAGGAGGCAGAGACATATCAGTAGCAGGCTGTTTGTTGCATGCTGAGCCAATTATTTTATTTGTATCTAAGGTTCTCACTAGATTCATGGAGCTGTGGTGTTATATCATCACAGACCCTTAAGTAATCTACACAACTGCTAATCAAATCTGTATCTCAGGCTTATAATATTCAGGGGTTCATTGGCCCTCATGACTGGGGATGTAACCAGTACCAGTCGCATTGTCTAATCTTGGTGAATCCACTTGGAATCTGGGCCAGCTTTAGAGGGACTTGGTAAGTTTATAGGAGAGAATCAATTTCCCCACGTCACAGAAAAAGAAATGATCAAAACCTTTCTTAAACTTTGCTCAGATACTAGACTACTTGTAGTCGTGTCCCAGAGGGCTACTTTGCTTTCTGTCTAGAAGGAAGAGAGGAAGGGAGGGAGGGTGGGAGGGAGGGAGGGAGGGAACTGTAACAAATGCTTTGCAGAGCATCAAAGTTTAGTATTATGAGGTGGAAAGCCACTGTGGTAAAAGCTTTCTATGCAGAAGCCCTGGAATCTGAGCTCTGAATGGTAAAAGGTCATGATCAGACTGGGGAAGCATGCTACACAGAGATTGGGCAGAAGCCAAGTTGTGTAGGTCTTTTAAGGCCTGGAGGTGGAGTTTTATTTGTAGAACAAGAAGTCATTTAGAGGACATACTCGATCAGGCTGATATTTAACATAATGCTCTGATAGTTTGAGGGAAAAGCGTCTGGAGAGGTGGCTCAGCAGTTTTCAGTGCTTGCTCCTCAACTGTGAGGACTGGAGTTTGGATCCCAGCAACCACGTGACAATCTCATCAGTCAACACAAACACTTGTGACCCCACTGTTAAGTGGAAGGGGTGGAAACAGGAGGATCTCTTGGGTTTGCTGGCTTCAGTCTAGTCTAGAAGTGAGTCCTGGGTTCAGGAAGAGACCCTGTTTCAGAGGAATAGGTGGAAAGTGATGGAAGAGAACACTAGACACGGTCTTCTGGCATTATCCAAGTGCTCGCACACACACAGGCATATATACGTGCACAGACACATACATACACACATAATGAATAAATAATAAAGTCAGAAAAAAGTAGAGTTGAACCAATAATGAAAGTAGAGGGATCATTAAAGAGCTTAGTTATCCTAATTTGAAAATGATCATTCTAAGTCAAGTAAGTCTGATGAGAAATGAGGGTAATGTTAACATTAGTTAAAGAGGTTCTCATGGAGATGGAACAATGTGGAAAGAATTCAAGGGTTATGGAGTTATTCTGGAGGCTGAGACCCAGGGCCTTTTCTTTATTTTGAGCAGAGGTTGGAAATGAGAGAAAGAGAAATTAAGGACTCTAAAGTTTGACTCTTGAGCAATTGTGGTGGGTGGTTCTACAACTCACCAAGACTGC